GCTCTTAAATTTGTCAGAATCAGTTTCTATTGCTTGTAAAACATATATCTTCATAATCCATATGTCAGAAAACCTATGGGATTAATTACATTGAACAAGAAATGGGAAGGAGCAGTAGGTTTAAAAATAGGTTGGCTCATCTTACGGCTTCATGAATTATCAGGAAAGCCACATGGGAGAAACCACCCCCATAGCTTCTATAGATACTTGACAATGGCCAGTCTCCAGGACATTTGAACCACATATGTCAACTGGAGTAGAAAGAGGTAGAGATGCCCAGTTGTGCTCATCTCCACTGGGGTGGCAGATCAGACATTGCTCTTGGAAATGTTTTCTCTCCTGTTCTCCACCCTAAACAATATTATGTCCAATTCTGCTTCTAGCACTTAACGTTGTACAATTTCAGGCTTACGGTGTGAGCACTTTCAAAGTTTCCTAGGAACATCAGCCAAAAATCAGACATTCAAAATGCAGTGTTTCTTACCTAAGCACACTAAATGGAAATCCAGGCTTGCACTGTAGTGGAATTCTATTGATGGCCTTTGTTGAAAAAGTGGGGTCTTTTAAAACATGCTCAGTCAGCAGAACGCTGTCAGAGGGCCTCTCACCTATCGCCGTACACTTTTTATTTCAAAGATTTCCATGCTGAGAAACAATCCCACTTTTTGCTTTGATAATGCCACCCAATTTTGTCCAGAGAAATGAATCTCAGAGTTGACTTAGATGAAAGCAATCTCAATTGTCTGAAGGGCTGACCTTGGGCAGTCATGTAGAACACTTTCTGCCATGGCTTTTGAGAGCTTCATTAAAAGGAAAAGATAAACCTGTACACGGCAATCTTTTGAATATCTATAATGATGAACACAGTCTCTATCGCTCCAAACCAGGCTTGCGTTCTCTTTACTAATTTCAAATTTTCAATGTATGTTTTTATTATCATTCACATGGTTCTGTTAAATTTCACAGTAACCTTTTCTCTGTTTAAATGACAGCTGCTTTTTTGGTCCATTCATTAGCTGGGCTGTCTGGAAGATGAAGGAGGCTTGATTAAATTGTAGGAGAGCATCGAGCCACAGTGAGTAGCCAAAACCTTACTCTCTAATGCTTTCCCCTACCCCTTCTCTTTCTTAGAAGGAAAATACTTTAAACAAGGTCTCAGACTCCTTCTGGGGTCCTGAGCACTTTAATGGGTAATGAAAAAAAAAAGTGATCAGGTTTTCAAAGTGGGGATTGAGACCTTTACTTCTGAAAGCAAATTTTTTTAAAGCTGGGAGTTCTGCTGGATTCTGGAGACCAGATTGCCCGAGCCAGTGTTGAGATCAAGTTTTCCCAGGCAAGGTATTTAGCTGATTGGAGTTCCCATCCTTTTCTTCTGGTCACGGGTCCCTGTTTCAGGATCCTAAGTGCTATGAGGGTTTCATCTCCATGGCGAGGCTCTGTT